AGGAAATTAAGGAGCCCCCCTGCCGTGAGCAGGAAAGATTGTGAGCAACCAAGGGAGGGAGAGTGAAGGAATGAGTAAAAGAAGAGGGCAGTGGAGTTTCAGGCCAGAAGGGACCCTGGAGGGCATTTAATCCAATCTTGGTTTTGGGGGGAGAAGAAACCAGACCAGGAAGGGGGAGCGACATGGCCAGAGTCATGCAGGTCATTGGTGGTTGAGCAATGACTCCAAACTCAGGGCTCCAGTGCCAGGCTGGCCGTGCTTGGTGAGCTGCTGGGCAAATGAGGGAGTGAAAATACGCAGATGGGACGGGGAGGGAGGGGAGACTGGGATGTCAGTCTGTGGCCCTGTGGGGTCACAGTGCGAATTTAGTGTTGGACCCACCAGCTCGGTGCATTTCTCCTCTGCCCGGCTCAGAGCCTCCCTTCCTTCCCCAGACCTAAGGGGCTGGGCCTTGGTTGTCTATCCAGGCCAACCCCCCCACCCCCACGCCTGCTGCCTCCTTGCTCCCCCACCCCTGCCTGGCCAGGGAGCGGCTCAGCCAGGAGGCCCCCTTCTTCCGCCTTGCCTCCCTGGCCCTGGGGGACTCCAGTGTGTTTATCCCAGTCTATTTCCAAGCACTGCTGCTCCAGGCTCCAAATCTGCGGTCCCCAACTGGGACCTGCCCCCTAGCTGACTGGCCTATTCCCAGGGTCTAGCCCTTGTTGGCTGGTGGGCGGCCGGGAGAGCTCTCCCAGAGGATCCCACAGCTCAGTTCCTGCCACCGGCTCCAGACTAGAGAGGGGGTGAGACCTAGGAGCTGCCCAAGTCAGAAGAGCCTTTCTGGGCCTGCTCCCCCATTCCCCAGCTCAGCCGCAAGCCTGGGGACCCAGACCAGTGCCTCCCACCCACCGCAGGAGAGCTCTGTTCCCCCCACCAGGGGATCCCCTGAGCCTACCCGGGGCAGCCCGCCCTCCATGGGAGCGCTCAAGACCCTGGGGTGGGAGGGAGCAGGGTTCCAGGCCAGCAAGGACGTTCCAGCTGTCCCAGTTCTGGGGTGCCAGGACCCCTCCACCCCCAATTGTGAAGTCAGGCCAGTGGGAGGCCTCCGTCCTCTTCCCTTCCGAAGCTTGGAGCCCGTGTCTGAAG